AAGCCAAAATACCGGGTTGGAGGCCCGGCAAATCTGAATCCCTCAGTAGCGAGTCTCTGCTAGTTCAGTGGTTATCTGTCGAGAGCTTTAGGTGCGCAAAAAAGGAGAAAAAATATGTTATGTTTTGAAACTTGCGTTTATAGATGCGTGGTCCCAATCTACATTACAGAAAAGAAGCAGATGTGATGGTTTCTATGCCTACCCAGTCATGCGCGCACCTCATGATATTTTCAGGCATACTATTCTTACTTTCCGTAGGGACGATAAATGCAATAGAATTTTGGTGTTATCAGGACACAAAACACGTTGCATAAAACGCAAGGTGAGTCCTCATAGTGCCTTCTTATATTTACATGCTCAAAGGCGACAATTTGTGACGGCAACCCAAGCTTGATGCATCCACATTTTGGTGGAGAGACGATTTTTTCTACAACCGGAGGGTTTAAGTTGATCAGACCATTTTCGTTTCGCACCTCATGAGTGACATGTAATTCAGTTAATGGGGTCTATGCTACACGCTTTACCGCTACCCGTATTTTAAATAGCCAAATTAAAAGGCCCGTCATTGATGTCAGTGAGGATTAACAGTTGGCAAGGGGACGGAGCCATAAATTTCTCCCCCCATTAAGCACGTTATCAGTTCCACCAAGTTATCACGCACTTCTTCAATTGCATGAGATGAGATGGCTTTCGGTTGGGACAAGCAGGAGGCACTAATCCTTTGAGTACCTCAATGAAGAATTGATAGAGAACTTATAAGCAATGTGATATAGCAGCTTTTACTTCTTTTTCCACCTCTGCTTCCCCTTCTGGCTTTGTCTAAGATCCTTCGTGTGATCCCGTCCCTGTCAAAGCGTGTGTACCTGCTTCTAGTGCGCCATCTATACCAAGCAGGATAAGAATGATAGGCAGACTAATAAAGCAACGAAGCAAGGGGAAAGAGAGGAACATGAAAGAAGTGAAAAAAAGGATTGGAGAAAACAAAATTGATAAAGACGAGGGAAGGCAATTGATAAATGCTCATGAATGTCCACAAAGCGTAACAAATCTCTACTCCGTCAAGAATGCCTAGTCTACCTCCTCGTAGGTTGCTGCACTTTCCCAACTCCCACAGTGGCAAATCCCCACTCTCTAGTCTCTCCCACTTTTCACACTCCTTCTGCGTTCTACCCTCCTAGTTCTCCTTAACGTCTTCCTCCATGTCTTTTGCTTCTTCCCCTTCAGCTCCGTCTCATCACTACTGATCATCCGAACTAGGCGAATGACGCCGTCTGTATACATCCGCATTGCCAATTAAATGCAAACACAGTTGACCATGGTAGAATCTGTTCGAACAATGCACCAATTGCCAGGTGCATCACATCATGCTACTACCAAAGTAGAACGGATGACTTAGGAATCAGCATCAGCAAGCAGGCCTGTCTGATGACGTGGAGACAAATGGTGCTACATCGAAGTGGCACTACGCCTCTTCTTCGTCCACTAGGATGTCTGTGTATGGCAGAAACATTTAAGGAGTTGATGCAAGGCAGGAAGAAAGAGGACAATTATTGGGTATTTCTGCTCTAAAAAATTCAGCACAAGTGGTGTAGACTCTTTTTACATGAAGAGCTACTGATGATTTGGAGGCTACATCTGCATTGTAGTAGGACCGTACTAACAGCATAGAATAGTAAGTGGTGCCTGTGCAACACATCAATCAGAGACAGCAATGTTACAATGCTGCCGGGGTCATAAAGCCAGCCAAGTCACCACACACCTCTTCAATTGCTCTGGCAAGGAAGAATGGCAATGTCTACTGCTGTACGTAGACTATAGGAAGCTGAACACACTAACGAAAATGGACACCTTCCTAGCGCCTTACGTCAGCAATTCGATAAACTCCCTACAAGTGTCGGAATGATTCTCCTTGCAAGATTTAAAATCAGGATGCTGGCAAGTGGAAGTGGCAGAAGCGGACAAAGAGAAGACAAAACTCTTATTGCCGAATGGACTGCATTAAATTACATACAATACCTTTTGATCTCTGTAG